GTAGGGGAAAACGATGATGGAAACACTGAATATCCTTGAAGTTCGAGATACACTGAAAATACTTCTGATTTCGACTTCGGCGATATTTTTGTAGAACTTTTAATGGAATCTCTGAGTTCATTATATTTGAAGAATAAAAAATACTGTATTATTCATTTGAAGATCTTATAGTTATTTGGTTATTCTCGGCTTTTCTTGGTTACAAACGCGAAATTGGCATCGAATTTTGAAAAACCTAATCTTTCCCGCTTTCAGTTTTTGGAAGAAGGAGATTACTTAAGACGATCATCTCGTTCTAAACAATCGAGTAAAAAGGAGAAAGCCAGCCCTTCCGAGGTATTGTCGTACTTTTTTCTCCGCATACGCATATTTGCTCATTTTTTTCTCATCAAAGGATGAAGATGAGGAAGCCGAGCTTAGCGAAGACAGTTCGTCGGATAATCACAGTTACAAAGCGAGCCGAGGAAAAAGAATATCCGCACAAAAATCAAGTGGATACAGGGGACGATCAGGGAAATCAAATCGTTCTCCTGTTGACTATAAAGAAAAAGGCTCCGATGAAGATGTATGTATTTTGCAGTTTTTTGAGATATCTGTATCATGTAATATGCTCCTGTGATTTCCAGCTGGATGAAAATGACGTTCTTGAATGGGAGGAAGACGTAAAGTCTCCTACTGTAACGAATGCAGAAACAATCGAACGCGTATGTTTATAAGTATCCTGATCAAAGGCTGAGATGATCTTTAGGACTTCAGGTGATCAAGTCCAGATTGGGAGCTCAAGGGGCAACGGGATCAGCTACCACTCGCTATAATGTTCTAGAAAAAGGCGATCCAAACAATCCAGATGCTGCCGCTGTTGAACAGCAATTTTTGATCAAGTCAGTTTTATTTCTTCAATGGTGTTTATACTTCTCCTTATTGCTGTTTGTATTCCAGATGGGTTGGTTGGAGCCATCTCCATAATACGTGGGAATCCGAAGCATCGATAGCTGCTATGGGAGCGAATGGAGTGAAGAAAGTGCAAAACTTTCTCAAAAAGCAAAAAGAAATGGATGAGTGGTAGGTCTATTTCTCGCAGTTATTTCTCCTATCATACCTATCTCGCCTACTCAGGAAGCGCACAGCTGATAAGGAGTATATTGAATTTTATGAATGCGAGCAAGTTATGAGTGAGGAGCTGTGCGAAGAGTACACAAAAGTAGAGCGGATAGTCGCGCATCAGGTAGAGCAAATAAAACCTCAAGAGATGGCTTCCTCAATGCTCAAAAATATGTTGTTCAGGTATCCAGGGATAAAAATGCGGATGGCCAAGAGGCCACAGAATATTATGTAAAATGGTGTGGACTTTCATATTCTGACTGTACTTGGGAGGATGCTCGTTTGTTACCTCCTGAAGCAATCCAGGCTTATCATCGCAGGATCGATAACTATAAAGCGCCCAGCAAAAATGCTGCGGTAAGTATTTTCTGCTTTCTTGAAAAATTCATTAGTTATGAACGGAAAAGGAGTTTTTGATTTTTTGATTAATATATGTCAACGGCTCAAGTAAACTTTCACAAATTTGTCTTTTAGGTACTACGAAGAAGACCGAAGTTTGTAAAAATCGAGGGTATGCCATCATGGCTACAACCTGATGATAAAGAACAAACTCTTCGAGACTATCAACTCGAAGGTCTGAACTGGATGCTGCATGCTTGGTGCAAACACAATTCATGGTTAGTTCAAGAGCTCCAGCTTTTTTTGAGGACGACGTAGCCTTCAATTTTTCTGTTTAGCATCCTAGCTGACGAAATGGGTCTCGGAAAGACCATTCAGTCGATCGCGTTTCTGTCAGCGTTATACCACCGTTACGAATTGTATGGGCCATTTCTCGTCGTGGTACCATTGTCTACTATGGCAGCTTGGCAAAAAGAGTTTGCACAATGGGCACCGGACTTGAACCTTGTCACCTACATGGGCGATACGAATTCGCGTGAGCAAGTGAGTCCTGTTCAAAATGAACGTAACATAAAACCTCCAAAAAATTGATAAAAACAATGAAAGGTTCGGGAAACTTTCCAAAATGGAAGTTGAAAAAATAGGGGAAAGGCTTTTCTCTTCTTTACAGTCGAAATCTACCATGTTATGCAAAGGAACTTGTTTGAGTTGGAATAAGAACTTCTCAAAATTTTCATTTAGCGCCTTTCGGTCCTCCTTCTGTAGTTGCACAAACTGCTACAGAATGAAACCGGCTGTCGCAGGGAAAGTACATATCCATCGAGATCAGAAAGCTGCGGGGCATGGAAAGGAAAAAGCAAAGTATATTTTTTT